CATGAGTCGGTTGGTGGTCTCCGGCAGGAGTTCCTCGCCCACTCTGAGCAGGGGACGGAGAGTCCGGGGGTGGGATCGCCGAGCCCGGCTCGATCCCTTGGCCTGGAGGCGTCTGTAGATCCGTTGCCTCTGGCTTCGGGTCCGGATGCCTCGGCTTACCCGGAGGGAGAGGGTTCGCTCCCAGTCCCCCTCTCGGTGTTGGCGCAGGGTCCTTTGAGGATTCCTGGGGTTCCGGTCCCTGCGCCGCCCCGCCCCATGAGAGCAGAGGAACCAGTTCTGCCTGGTATTCCTCCCGCGTCTCGGGACCGGGGTTCGAGTGTGGTGTCGGGTGCTGAAGCGTGGAGTTCCTCCAGCCTCTGATTCGGGCCCGGGTGCCGAGTCCATGGACGTTGGGGAGGTTGAGGAGCCGGAGGGCGCTTTCCGTTTCTCGATGGCTCTGCGGGAGGTACAGCAACGTATTGCTGAGTTTATCCCCCAGGCCGCGGTACCTACCAGCCGCTCGGACTCGTCTGAGTTCCGCCTGCCGGGCGAGGCGTTTGCCCCTAGGCAACCCTCGCAGACGCTACTCCGTATCTTGCCGTCCCTAGTGCAGGACGTGGTGGATCCTCTCCTGGTTGGGACACGCCTCCGGTTCGACTTGCCCGAACTTGTCAAGAGGTACCAGCTGGGGGATGATTCCCTGTTCTTTGTACCAGTGGTCGAAGAGTGTGTGTTTACTTCGGTCGCCCTGGGGGGAGGCTTGGCTTCCTCTGGTGCAGCCCCGACTGCCAGGCAAGTGGGGTTTAGTGCCACCATTTGCCCTTGCTGGCGCCCCCCTGCAGCAGGCTTACAAGACCTACGAGGAGGTCTATCGGAATGCCATGCAGCAGGTGCGGGTGTTTTCCACGAGGCCTACCTCTCCTCGATTCAGAGGTCGGCCCTAGAGGCTGAGGGGAATGCTGGGGACGTGTCCCCGCATGTTGTTCTCTTACACCAACTATCCAAAGTTCAGGCCCACCTAGCGCGCGACTCCTTGCGGTCAGCGGCGTCTACGGTGATGTGCGCAGTCATGAGGATGCGCAAGCTGTGGCTGTCGACGTCTCGCTACTCGGCAGCTACACAGCAGACCTTGCTGGCCCTTCCCTTCCGTCTGGGAGCGACGTTGTTTCCTGGGGCTCAGCAGGTCATACGGGAGGCTGCTGCTGCAGCTACCTCCTTCAAGGATTCTAAGGCCTTGTTGGAGCACCCGTGGGCTTCTCGCCCCCGCGCTCCCATTCCGGCTTCCTCCTCCGGGGTGCAGCCTACACCCGAGTCTGCCGGCTGGCTTCGGCCGCTGGGCAGGGGCAGGCGGAGGAGCCGTCCCGCCAAGGGTAAGGGCAAGGAGCAGTCCTCTTCGTTGGCACCCAGCCTTTTTGCAAGGAAGGCGTTGTTACCCTTACCTCGACGACTGGTTGCTCAGCGCGCTAACTCAGCCAGCGAGCCTAGATTCTACTCACACAGTGATAGACATTCTAGTTCAACTGGGGTGGATCATAAACCTCAAGAAATCCGACCTGGTACCTACCCAGGACTTCTCGGGTCGCGGTTCCAAACTCACAAGGATCTTGTCTCCTTGTCGCCGGACCGGGCCCCTTGTTCCCAGCCCCAGGCACCAGCGCGGACTTGGCTCCGTCTACTTGGCCATATGGCGGCGACTATCTCTGTGGTGAGGCGGGTGCGGTTGAGGATGCGCCCTATACAGCAAGCTTTGGCGAGTCTGTGGGCTCACTTGGAGGACCTGGAGCGGAGTCTCACAGTCCCCGGGTGGTTGTCTCCTCACCTTCAGTGGTGGACCAATGTCGGGAATCTCTCCAAGGGGATCCCTTTGGAAATCCCGACGCCAGCTCTTACAGTTCAAACCGATGCGTCCCTCACGGGCTTGGGGGGTGTTCTGGGCAGTCTGTCGGTGTCCGGACTCTGGTCCGAAGCCGAAGCCCGCCTTCACATCAGCGTCTTGGAACTGAGAGCTGTGCGGTTGGCTTTGGAGCGCTTCCGGGAGCATGTTCAGGGCCAGGTGGTTCGTCTTCAGTCGGACAACTGTACGGCCATGATGTACATCCTGAAGCAAGGCGGCACGGTGTCCCTAGTGCTCCTTCGGGAGACTTGGGAGTTTCTCCTCTGGTGCGACCAGTGCAAGTGGCAGGTACTCCCTGTTTATCTCCCGGGGCTGGAGAACGTGCGAGCAGACGCTCTCTCTCGCCGGATCCTGGCCCCGCACGAGTGGATGCTCGACCGGCAGATATTCGGAGTTATCTCCCAATTGTACGGATTGTTCCAGGTGGATCTGTTTGCGTCTGGCGGGACGAATCAGATACCCGTTGTCTGCTCTCGAATACCGGACCAGAGGGCGTTGGCTTCCGATGCCTTCCTGCTGGATTGGACGGGCAAAGTGCTCTGGGCGTTCCCGCCGTTACCACTCATTCCCCGGGTCCTCTCCCAGCTGTCCACCCAGCCAGCTCGGCTACTTGTGCTACTGGCACCGCTATGGCCGTCACAGAGCTGGTGTCCGGTAATTCTCAGTTTCTGGCTCAGCCTCCTGTTCTATTACCTTTGCGACCGGACATTCTCACTCAGAACGGCGCGCCATACCCCAATCCAAGGATTCAGTGGGTGGCTTGGCCTCTGTCAGGTCTAGCCTCGAAGCACGCGGAATTCCTGCAGCAGTTGCAGACACAATTCTGGCTTCGAGGCAGGATTCGACAAACGTTCAGTATGAGGATAGGTGGTCCCGCTATGCGCGCTGGTGTTCAGATAGGGGGATTGCAGATCCCTTTTCTGCGGATTTAGTCTGAGTATTGGAGTTTTTGCAAGCTCGTTTGGAAGAAGGTCTGGCGGCTTCGACCATTTGTAGCTACTCCACCTCTATTTCCACTTTCACACCCCTGTCGATGGTGCTCTTCTGGGGCAGCACCCTCTCGTGCAGCGCTTTTTAGCTGGCGTGGATCACGTTCGACCTGCCATCAGGCGAACCAGCCCACCTTGGGATTGTCAATTGTGCTAGATTGGCTGTCCGGTCCTACGTTCTCACGTCTTTCGGCTATTTCCATTCAGTTGTTAACATGGAAGGCTGTATTTCTGGTGGCGGTAACATCTGGGCGTAGGGTCGGCGACTTACATGCTATGTCGGCAGACCCGGCGCTGACTGTGTTCCATCCAGATCGTGTCAGTATTCGCCTCCCGGATACTTACCGACCGAAGGTCGATCACACTTTCCATGTGACAGCTCCTATCGAACTTCCTACTCTTACCCAGCCTTCCACATCGGGGACCTCTCCTACGAGCACTCACCCGTTGGATGTCCGAAAGACTCTCAAGGTCTATATCAAACGAACACAGGGGGTCCGTACGGGTACCCATCTGTTCTGCTGTTACGGTGGCGGGAAGGCTGGGGTGCCGGCGAGCAAACAGACCCTGTCTCGCTGGCTTGTTTCGGTCATTTGTGCTGCCTATCAGGCTAAGGGCAAGCCTCCCCCTGAGGGGTTGAAGGCTCATTCGGTCAGGGCAGTAGCCACGTCAAAAGCTTTTGCATCGGCACTACCCATTGAAGAGATATGCTCTGCTGCTATTTGGAGCCGGCCTAGCACTTTTATCAGGCACGATCAGCTTGATACACATTCACGTGATCGTGCGCGCTTTGGACGTTCTGTTCTCTCCAGTGGACAGTGTCCTGCCACCCTGACCGAGTGAGTCTTGGTTATCTGGTTTAGTTGACGCTGCTTTCAATTGTGTTTTATTGATATGTCCGCTGTTGTATGATCTAACTCCTTTCGATTCTCTACGGAGATTATGGTCGGTTGTGAGTGGTTTTTTCCCCCCTACGGTGCTCTCTAATAGATTCACGATAGACCATGAGGTGGGTGGGGTTGTTTACTTTCGCACTTCATGCGATCTTGTTATGCTTAACCTACGATGTCAACTCTCAGTACCTTTCCTCCCTGTCGGTTACCCTCCCATAATGCCTCTCGCGGAAGCTCCGGGACACGTGACATGTGAGTGTTGTGGTGTCTGTTACATTATTCTTAACGATCACTATTCATGTGTACTATGACAGAATTCCCTCCTCCCTGGCCTCCGGTCTTTGGGAGTCTGTGTTTATGCATATATGTACCCCAAGGACGATCTCTATGAAAAAGAATTTACCAAACCTGTAGAGGTTTTCAATTCTTTGAAGAGAGTCGTCCTTTGGGTAGGGCCGCCCGTCTCCCCGCAATTCTGTTCACTGATTTATTCAGCAGAAGGAATGATGATACAGGCGTAGGTGCTTACCTGGTTGGCTGCGCATGCGTAGCGGGAGGTAACTCCACGGGGTGGGGGCCGTATAATAGATAAAAAATTTTATTTATTGTACAATATTTTTATTAAAACATTGATACAACTGTAACAGGACATTTTCAGCGCAGAAAATGCATATATGTACCCCAAGGACGACTCTCTTCAAAGAATTGAAAACCTCTACAGGTTTGGTTAAATTTTGGTGACCTTCACACATAGGGTCACGACAACACTTTGAAGATTTCAGCATGTTAACCTGAATTGTCAGCAAGATATTTTAAGAACGGTTCACTGGATTTTCTTCATAGACTTTTAGACTTCTCTTGAATGTTTTTCAATAAGCAATTTCTTTAGTACTAGTTTTGCATCATTCATACACTATGACATTCATGTCAAAGTCAAAGTCAGTCTTGAAAATATGTGTGTGTTTGAACAACTAAAGAGACAGATATCAAGAGAGGTTGATTAGTCATGTTTTTGTTGACATTTACCTTCATCTTAAACTTTCATTACTTTATAAGTTTGATTTGATAATTTGCAGCGGGGGAATATGTAACCTTAGTGACAATGCTTGTTGTCATTGTATTGCCATTTTGCTACTTACTGTGTAAGACTTCACCATATGCATGTATGTTATCATAATTGCTTATGTTGGATGTTTCTGTAGTACAAGCAATGTTGCATTGAGTGTGGTTTGTTTATTTTGGCAGTTCCTCTTTCATAAACCACTTCGGGTGATCAACTGGCTGCTGATCTTGGCCTGGCTACTGGTGGCATATCAGTTTTTCCGCTTGCTGCAGTGCATGGAGTGGAGTCACATTATCTGCCTGGCTCTCATCCTGTTCTGCAACTACTATACATTATTTAAACTGATGAGGGACCGTTTCATTATGGCCAAATGTTACAAGGAAGAAGAGAGCATCAACAGCAACACCTAGCCAGTCATACTGTGTGGCCAGGTAGCGATCACAGTTTTGTGGTGGAACATATTAGTAATGTAATAAAAATGCAGTTTTTACAATGTACTTTCTGCCTGTGGTTTGTTTTATCAATTGTCTGTCTGTGTGCTGGATAAAGTTACTGATCATAACACATGGGATCAGTTTCAGAAAATGAGATGGAAGGATAGATCTACCCACTCCCTCATCACAGATACGAAGAATGGCTCAAAACAGTTTGAGCAGAAACAAGGAGTATGGGAGCATGACTGGTATTAGGAGCTTGTATAGACTTCACCATATGGATGTTAATAGACAAGCCATTTCTAGTTGGTCAAGTTCCAGATGGAATCTTTTAGGAAACCATAAACATGGTTTCAGGATCAGAGACTGGTTAATCAGTTTGGATCTCAAAGACACTTATCTCCTCATACCTGGATTCCCGGAAGTATCTTTTGTTTGCTTTAAACAGTCAAATGTAATAGAGAACCAACTTTATGGATAACAATTTATTTTTATTCGTGAGTGCGATGTTTCGATACAGATTCTTGTACCGTTGTCAAGCATTAATGGAACATGAAGAAGGGGGGAAGTGTATATATACTGGATGTAACAATGTAACAAAGAAAACAACATAATTAACATAATTGGCTAGGCAGTAAGCTGATGAAGCCAGAGAGTAGACAAAGGACAGGCATGGAAGCCAATGATGTACAGATAATAATGAGATGTTTATACAGCAGAGTTTATACAGTAGATTTGGCTTGGTGGATGAGTGCATCATAAGCGGATGGAATGAAGTATCCTTGTTTTCGGTTGATGGTGGGCTATTGGCGTTTGATGTGGATGGCTTCGGTGAGCTTGCGTTTAGTGAGGTTTGTTTGTTAGCGAGAATGGTGATGTCAGACCACTCTATTTGATGATTGGGGCTTGCTTTGATGTGGTCGGAAATGGCTGATTTGCTGTCGGAATTGGTAACAGAGGTCTGATGTTCTTTCACTTGGGTGTTGATGGGTCGGGACCTTTCGCTTATGCAGCTCTGCCAACAATCAGTTTATTTTGTAGATGACACATTTTGGGTTGTTCTTGACGGTGGCTGGTTTTCTTCCATTGGCATGGAGAATGTTGTCAAGGCTGGAGGACGCGGAGAAGGTGGTATCTATGCCAGCTTGTTGTGTTAGGAGACGGCCGACTGTGACAGGGTTGCAGCAATGGTTCTGTTGACTATTTGGGATGGAAAGTGGTTAAGTTCTACGAAGACTTTCTTGAGATGTTCGATTTCATCTTGTAGTTTAGTTGAACAGATGTTCTTGGCCCTTCTGGTTAATGTGGAAATGATGCCGGTCTTATTTTTAGGTGGATGATTGGAGTTGTAGTGGATGTACTAATCCGTATGGGTAGGTTCTGTATATACAGTGGTCTGGAGTTGGTTGCAGGAGGTACAGGACGGCCATATATCAGGCTTGAGCTAAAAATCAACATACATACCTATTTGGTATGCTACTAACAATAATGGCATAAAAGGATGTTACCAGCCATTTTAATGTTCCCTGAAACACAATATTCTCTCTCTTGATGTTACCTACAGCAGGAGACCGCCTCCGTGGTGTAGTGGTTAGAGCGTCCGCCCGGAGAGCGGAAGGTCGCGGGTTCGATCCCTGACCGCGTCATACCAAAAGACGTTAAAATATGGTACTTGTTGGTCCCTGCCTGGCGCTCAGTATTAATGGGTACAACAAGGACTGGTCGGCTCAGAGTCAGTATAATGTGTCTGAGTGGGGGTATTCATGCTTCGCTGCGGCATGGTATCTCAGTGGGCTAGCACTATAAAACCAGCTTCAGTCTGGGCTAGTACAAGCAGCCGCACATACACATACACACGCATGCATGTCGTTGAAATATTCTCAAGCACAACGTAAAACCCAATTTCACCTCACCTCACCTACAGCAGGACAATATTTGCAGCCAGTATCGGGGGTCTTGCTGAATTTGACCAGATAGAACAGATTTTAAGCGTGTCAGTTGACCTATGATGTCCCATGATGCTTGTCTAGGGGGAGGAGGAGGAAGGGGGGAGGAAAGAGAAAGTCTTGTGGGGTCTTTGACACTGGTTAAAGCGTTGGCTCGTCAAGCCGAAGACCCGGGTTCGAATCCCGACATGGGCACAAAGTGTGAAGCCCATTTCTGGTGTCCCCCGCCATGATGTTGCTGGAATATTGCTAAAAGCAGCGTAAAACCAAACTCAATCAGTCAGTCTTTGACACTGGTATCTTCATTTCATCTGGGGACACTGACTTGAGGTGTTTTTTTTTTGTTTTTTTTACAGGTTTTCTGTTTGGTATGATTGATGTCAAGGTTGTGCTGGTGCAGAATTTTCATTCGTGGTTCTATTGATCACTGTGGTTGGGTATCTGTCATACACTGTGGAAAGATAAAATTCTTGAGTGTTTTTTGTTTGTCTGGAACAGACAATCCAGTGATCATTATCTTGCCTCACACATAAATGTCGCTTTCTGATTGGCGGAGCGCTCTTCTATTATTTTCAATGTACCCCACTTACATGCAAGTAACATTTTCTATGTATCCCGCTGGGAATGCCGAACTCATTTGGCACTACGTAGTTGTAATTCTTTATCTCGAATAACATTGAATCGCCTAGGATGTACGGAAATTACCGATGTTTTGTGAATGCAAATCGATGCAAGGGAGATAACTCTAAATTTGTTTTTCTTGTCGTCCATACTATGATTGGATACCCGTGCTTCAAACAGTTCAAAATTACCATTGAGGTGTTCGATAAGATAAATAACGTTGTTCACTGGTCCCTCGGGGCCCATGGGTTGATGCACCCTCAATGTTTCTTTATGTTCCCCTCGCCCTTCGGGCGATCAGCCCATGTCCCACTCGAGACCAGTGAACAACTTATAATAGCATGAGCATGGATATATGCAATTGGGATATGATGAAATGTGCCATCTAGTCACTGAGCCTGACCATCCAATCCTGTTAGTCGCCTCTTACGACAAGCATGTCTTGAACAAAAACACTAAAGATCATGGTGGCAATTGTCTTTATTCGTTCAACACAATACAGAGAAGCTTAGAATAGACTGAGTGACATGGCTGACAATAAGTGATGGTGCTGAAGACATGACCAATTTGTGCATACATTCACAGAGCTGGCTCAACACCAAGTAATACAAGACCATGTTATACACATGTTCTGGCTCAACAAACAGGTTCATGTTTCATCTTGAACAGTTTCATTAGTAAGCTTTGTGTCCAGAATCTGGAATTACCCCAACCACAAATGCTATTGGCTATATACCATTAAACCCAAGGGTATCAGTAGGCATGTGTAGGTAGGAGTCAGCAAAAGCCATGAAGAAAGAAAGGGGTTAAACATAAACAAAAAGGTGGGATTGTAACCTGTGACCCTGACCATTTGGTCATTTGAGCTCCCTGCGTCAATAAAATGCAACATGCCATATATATCTGTCACGAGAGGTTGATAGCTTGTCATGACCAGATGTGAAGACACACCAAAAGCCGGAATTACCAGCAGCATCTGTTGAGGATATCTCGTGTCAGCTTGCAGCTTAATGTGACCACTGCCCTAAAGCATTCATCATTTCATCTACTCATAAACTGTTCATTAGGTCTGCAACTCTTGAAATAATCTTTTCTAAAAATCATACAACACTATGACACATTTTAAAGATCGAACAGATACAGGAATGAACAGAGGATTTGGATAAGGTCTGCATTTCTGAACACTTCATCCTGTAACAAGCCCTAACCTTTTGGAAGAGAATGCATTAAATATAGGCAGTTAGCCTAAGGGTAAGCTACCAGAAACATCTCTCATGTGACTTGACCTGAAAGGAAATTAGGGGATGAGTACTGCTGAACACAGGGACTGTGGAGATACATGTTGCTGTATCTACATGTTCATATAGAACACCATTTGTGCTTGTACAAAGGTCTACACATACATGACCAGATCACATCCACAGACCATCGAAGTGAGCGTTTCTTGGATGACCAGTACCTGAAACTGACCTAAGTGGTCTGCCAAAACTAGGGTCTTACTGGATCAACACAAACAATAAACATGGATCGCTTCAGACATACTAAGTAACATTTCTTATATTCACTCTTGTACATCAACAAACAAGTATTAATCTGTTAACAAGTCAACATGCTCCCTGTGTACAGACAACTGCATAGCACAGAGTATGGAGGGATGTATGGGACAGGGCAGTTCACTTATCCTCTGGCTTGCATATAACCCACAACCTGTGGTATTCCAGTAAAACATGAAAGACACCAAGTGCCAGGAATGATTGCAGTATCACTTGTAATCCATAAAAAATATCTAAAAATATATCTTATTGTAGGTGTAATCATAAAAAGAGGTCTGAAATATAAATATGTGACATTATTCAGAACAGAAGGATGGTGTGTAGATAAGGTGAAACATATAGCAATTGGTGTAATTCTGCCCATCATCATCAAGTACTTGGTTGGTTGACACCCTGCCCATGCATTATTTCTTACTAGGAACTATAATCACATGAAAACCACCACATGGAGGCTACTCAGGCAAGTACATCTTGAAGGGAACACTGTGGAATCACAACATAAAAATGCTTGATGGATTTTCATTTGAGGAGACAGTAGAACATAAACCAACAATGTAATCCAGCATTTCAAGATACAATAAATAAAAAGTTATAAACATATAACATAACAAACTACAACTTGATAAGATAAATATTTGTAAACAGTTTACCTAGCAACATGTTTCTTCTCAGGACAACATGAAGCAAAGGCCGACCCCTCCCCTGCCTTGACAACACGTTGGCTATAGGAAGAGGAGAGTGATGTCACCACCCATCAACATGTTGGCCACAGGAAGGGGAGAGTGAGGTCACCACCCATCAACATGTTGGCCACAGGAAGGGGAGAGTGAGGTCACCACCCATCAACATGTTGGCCACAGGAAGGGGAGAGTGAGGTCACCACCCATCAACATGTTGCCCATAAGAAGGGGAGAGTGAGGTCACCACCCATCAACACGTTGGCCATAGGAAGGGGAGAGTGATGTCACCACCCATCAACATGTTGGCCATAGGAATGGGAGAGTGAGGTGACCACCCATCAACACGTTGGCCATAGGAAGGGGAGAGTGAGGTCACCACCCATCAACACGTTGGCCATAGGAAGGGGAGAGTGAGGTCACCACCCATCAACACGTTGGCCATAGGAAGGGGAGAGTGAGGTCACCACCCATCAACATGTTGGCCACAGGAAGGGGAGAGTGAGGTCACCACCCATCAACATGTTGGCGTTAGGAATGGGAGAGTGAGGTCACCACCCATCAACACGGTGGCCACAGGAAGGGGAGAGTGAGGTCACCACCCATCAACACGTTGGCCATAGGAAGGGGAGAGTGAGGTCACCACCCATCAACATGTTGGCCATAAGAAGGGGAGAGTGAGGTCACCACCCATCAACATGTTGGCCACAGGAAGGGGAGAGTGAGGTCACCACCCATCAACATGTTAGCCATAAGAAGGGGAGAGTGAGGTCACCACCCGGCAATATGTTGGCCACCAGTACTGTACTGAATAGATGTTATACTTGCATGATCTGTTCTCAACATGTAGACATTTGTTTGTTCACTTCATTCCAGTTAATCATTTATTATCACAACATGCACTGGAATTAAACTGGTAATCCCTTCTGATGCCAGAAGCAAGACATTACAACAGGGCTTATCAGCAGCCTACCTTCTACCTGAACACAACAAAATACAAATAAAACATACTATAGGCAACACTTACACCTACTAACAATACTAAACTTTTCACATTATTCAAGACTGGTTTCAAAAACAGTCAAAGGGTGGAAAACCTTAAATTCACTAGGTTTCAATATAATCTAACAAAACTGCACAGTAAATCAAAGAGAAGCTCAATGTTAAAATTGACCAATAAATGTATCTCAACCATCCAATGCTCCCTCATACCACATAAACAGGCAAATCTTAAAACTGTATTACAGGAACTCAACTTATTAACCAGTACTTAATCTTGACATCACAATTGAAGTAAGAGATTTTAATTTCATGGAGTCAAGTTTTCACTGACACCTAATCTCGGTAGAAATTCATACATAGCACCTTTATCAATCACATCTGAATTTTTCTTGATAGTAAGGATTGTTTATTTGTTTGTAAATCTAGCCTCCTATACAAATATGCTCATTCACCATGTTATAAATACACTATATCTGATATGCACTGAACTAATTAAAATAACTATTTAGTAATGCCTAGTTTCTTCTGCAGATATTTTGAGGAGACTCTCTGAGAATTCTTCTTAAGAATAGCTCCACCATCAAATGTGCTCCACTCCTCTTCAAACTCATTCTCCAAAATTTCTGCTCCCTTCCGATTGGTGAGTCCAGTTTCCTGCAGGCTGAGTTCACACATCTGCATGTCATCCACACCTGCAGGCCATATACAGCAGTCAGTTTATCTTGCTCTCAACAGCAAGCAGTGGCATACCCAGCCATCATATAACAAACATACTTAAACTATGTCCTATTTGTGTAGAAAATGATGAAGGGAAAAGACTTTGAATCCTCATTACCTTATAAAAACTTGATTGAATATAAAACGAGGAACATTCACTATGGTAAGCAGTTGTTGAGAAGTCATAACGATAAGCAAACAACACATATTTCCTCATGGCATGATCATTACCATTCTCTTCCCACAAAGGTAACTCCTGTCATATCTTCCTACGTAACCTCTGTTCTAATACGACCCTTTCATGGTGTGAGCGTTCAAGACTCGTGATTGGAGGTAATCAGATTTAGTTGTGCAATCAGCGACGTTGTTTCAAAAGTGATCATTCGCAAGGCCTCGGTAATTTCCGTATACTTCGAGAAAACTAAACCTCTTCCCCTGCGCGATGCGCAAACGTTTCTTCTAGACAGAACTCAGTCATGTTATGAAGGATCAGTGGTGTCTCCATCGCCCTCGTTGAAAACGAACAAGCTAGCCATTAAACGTCTGGTGTGTAACATCAACACACGTCCCCGGTAGATGGGGGATATTTGTGGCCTCACATTTGCTTGTGTTAGTAAAGTTGAATCTAAGTCGATGTAACACGTGTTCTGATTGGATAGAAAGAAGGGAGATAATTCGTGTTGCGATCTTTTGCCGCTAGGGGATTTTACGAGAACCGGGAAATATGGCCGTATTAGAACAGAGGTTACGTAGGAAGATATGACAGGAGTAACCTCTGTGGGAAGAGAATGGATCATTACATGTACTTTAAAGACTGCAATATAAATATCACATTTCAAACATAAAAAATATTTTCTGTGCATCAATTTCTTAACTTTACATGCAGAAATAATGACATCTTGAATACAAGTGCCATAACAACCACTTTTCAGATCAGATGTTCATCTTCAGTACAGTTTTACAAAGTGTCACTTGGTTGACTTTTCCTTACTGTGCCACAAACACAAGGATCAATGATTAAGACAGTGCATATGAACTATGATTACACTTATCACCACAACTACTACGGTAATAAGGTCACCTACCTGCCACAAAGAGAACTGGCGGTTTGCCTGGGTAGCACTCCATCTGTCTGGCTATCCACTGCCCATCGAAGTGGGCAAACCAGTAGCCATGTTTCTTCTCCACTCCTCCATCTCTGTACTCATCTGCCGGACGGGAGAAGGGGATCCGGAAGTAGCGTTGCTCATTCTTCGCCTGGGAACTGGCCTGGTGCGCTGGTTTCATAGAAGTACTCTCAGCTGGCAGGTAATAAATGGTCACAGTTATACTCGCATCACAGGATATTTCAAGAAGTAAAGAGATTAAAACATTTCACTACAACCAGTGTGAACCTGTGTGAACAGTACGTAAACAACACACTCTCACTGACTCATTCAAACACAACAGTATAACACACACACTAGAGCTCAAGTGTACTTGATCCTGCATGGAGACAACAGGTCCTGCATGGAGACAACAGGTCCTGCAGTCCCCACCAAGGTACGTTTAATGTAATCTAGAAATTCTAACCAAATGGCATGCCTTGAAGGTAAACACATCCACCATTAAACATGCAAGTAACAGTTTTAATCATGCTGCTCCAAGTTCATGCATGTAGTTTTCCCACACCAACAGTATTGACGGTGTAAGACATAGCACAGTGTATGTGTTGCGTACGGATGACATGTGAAGACGGTATAAGACATAGCACAGTGTATGTGTTGTGTATGGATGACATGTGAAGACGGTATAAGACATAGCACAGTGTATGTGTTGCGTACGGATGACATGTGAAGACGGTATAAGACATAGCACAGTGTATGTGTTGCGTACGGATGACATGTGAAGACGGTATAAGACATAGCACAGTGTATGTGTTGTGTATGGATGACATGTGAAGACGGAGTAAGACATAGCACAGTGTATGTGTTGTGTACAGAAGACATGTGAAGACGGTGTAAGACATAGGATGGTGTATGTGTTGAGTACGGATGACATGTGAAGACGGTATAAGACATAGCACAGTGTATGTGTTGAGTACGGGTGACATGTGAAGACGGAGTAAGACATAGCACAGTGTATGTGTTGTGTATGGATGACATGTGAAGATGGTGTAAGACATAGCACAGTGTATGTGTTGAGTGCGGGTGACATGTGAAGGCGGACATGCACAGTGTATGTGTTGTGTACGGATGTGAGATTGTATGTGTACGGGTGACATGTGAAGACGGATTAAGACATAGCACAGTGTATGTGTTGTGGATGACATGGATAAGACATGTGATGAGATGGAAGACATAGCACAGTGTAAGACATAGCACAGTGTATGTGTTGTGTGAAGTCACGGATGACATGTGAAGACGGTGTAAGACATAGCACAGTGTATGTATGTGTAAGACGGATGACATGTGAAGACGGAGTAAGACATAGCACACAGTGTATGTGTTGTGTATGGATGACATGTGAAGACGTAAGACATAGCACAGTGTATGTGTTGTGTACGGATGACATGTGAAGACGGTGTAAGACATAGCACAGTGTATGTGTTGTGTACGGATGACATGTGAAGACGGTGTAAGACATAGCACAGTGTATGTGTTGTGTATGGATGACATGTGAAGACAGAGTAAGACATAGCACAGTGTATGTGTTGTGTACAGATGACATGTGAAGACGGTATAAGACATAGCACAGTGTATGTGTTGTGTATGGATGACATGTGAAGACGGAGTAAGACATAGCACAGTGTATGTGTTGTGCACTGATGACATGTGAAGACGGTATAAGACATGGGACAGGGTATGTGTTTCACAGCCAGAGGACTTAGCGTCATGGTGCAGTGAATAGCAACAAGAGCACAAAAAATCTCTCTAAATATTAACTGTGACAGAATTCAACACCAGGGGCTCCTTTCATGAAGCAACCTTTGCTAAGGTTAACCTTAACTCCCATTCTTTAACATTGCACTAAGGTTACCTTAGTGACTTACAATCACCTTAGTGCTTTGTGAAAAGAGGCCCAGGGCAACATCTAGCAATAATTTATAATAATGATAAATAGTGTTGTGGTGTATTGTACATCAAAGGCTTAACAATCATTCAATCATACAGACACATAGTCTGACATTAAGTATATCTGTGATACATGATGGGAACTAGTCAACTCCTATGTCAGTCCTAGTGATATCCTTCAGTCAGTGTGGGTTAAAACATCTCATGATGCCTTCTATCTCTAGACACTTGGCAGCAACCCGATTCTGTGTGGATAATGTGTCTGAGACCGATCTGATCTTGCTGGTGGATATGCTTGTACGAGTGTTGCAATGAGTCAGTCACTTCTTCCGCTGCCTCCTGGCAGCCCATGTCACTTGAGCTGCTGGTCATGGTAGCCTGTGTCACTTGAGCTGCTGGTCATGGTAGTACATGTCACTTGAGCTGCTGGTCATGGTAGCCTGTGTCACTTGAGCTGCTGGTCATGGTAGCCTGTGTCACTTGAGCTGCTGGTCATGGTAGCCTGTGTCACTTGAGCTGCTGGTCATGGTAGCCTGTGTCACTTGAGCTGCTGGTCATGGTAGCCTGTGTCACTTGAGCTGCTGGTCATGGTAGCCTGTGTCACTTGAGCTGCTGGTCATGGTAGCCTGTGTCACTTGAGCTGCTGGTCATGGTAGCCTGTGTCACTTGAGCTGCTGGTCATGGTAGCCTGTGTCACTTGAGCTGCTGGTCATGGTAGCCTGTGTCACTTGAGCTGCTGGTCATGGTAGCCTGTGTCACTTGAGCTGCTGGTCATGGTAGCCTGTGTCACTTGAGCTGCTGGTCATGGTAGCCTGTGTCACTTGAGCTGCTGGTCATGGTAGCCTGTGTCACTTGAGCTGCTGGTCATGGTAGCCTGTGTCACTTGATGCCTGTGCACTGGTCATGGTAGCCTGTGTCACTTGAGCTGCTGGTCATGGTAGCCCATGTCACTTGAGCTGCTGGTCATGGTAGCCTGTGTCACTTGAGCTGCTGGTCATGGTAGCCTGTGTCACTTGAGCTGCTGGTCATGGTAGCCTGTGTCACTTGAGCTGCTGGTCATGGTAGCCTGTGTCACTTGAGCTGCTGGTCATGGTAGCCCATGTCACTTGAGCTGCTGGTCATGGTAGCCTGTGTCACTTGAGCTGCTGGTCATGGTAGCCTGTGTCACTTGAGCTGCTGGTCATGGTAGCCCATGTCACTTGAGCTGCTGGTCATGGTAGCCTGTGTCACTTGAGCTGCTGGTCATGGTAGCCTGTGTCACTTGAGCTGCTGGTCATGGTAGCCTGTGTCACTTGAGCTGCTGGTCATGGTAGCCCATGTCACTTGAGCTGCTGGTCATGGTAGCCCATGTCACTTGAGCTGCTGGTCATGGTAGCCTGTGTCACTTGAGCTGCTGGTCATGGTAGCCTGTGTCACTTGAGCTGCTGGTCATGGTAGCCCATGTCACTTGAGCTGCTGGTCATGGTAGCCTGTGTCACTTGAGCTGCTGGTCATGGTAGCCCATGTCACTTGAGCTGCTGGTCATGGTAGCCTGTGTCACTTGAGCTGCTGGTCATGGTAGCCTGTGTCACTTGAGCTGCTGGTCATGGTAGCCTGTGTCACTTGAGCTGCTGGTCATGGTAGCCTGTGTCACTTGAGCTGCTGGTCATGGTAGCCTGTGTCACTTGAGCTGCTGGTCATGGTAGCCTGTGTCACTTGAGCTGCTGGTCATGGTAGCCTGTGTCACTTGAGCTGCTGGTCATGGTAGCCTGTGTCACTTGAGCTGCTGGTCATGGTAGCCTGTGTCACTTGAGCTGCTGGTCATGGTAGTCCTGTGTCACAAAGTGTGTATATTCAATGTCTTTTATCTTGATATCCATGCAGCATTTCTCTTAATGTCAGCTGAACGAACATAGACACAACCATCAGCCTGAGTTTCCAAACATTTCTTCATTTTTGTTCTTTTGTTGAACACCAAACTGATGTTCAACCACCCACCAGGTAATATTTACACCCAGACTTACTAAAGCTGGCCAGCTTTAGTAGTGTTAGTATCTGGTGTGTTGAGGTTAGTTGGGGCAGAAGGCTCATGCAGGGTCAGACACTACCATATTAACATACTGGAAGTATATACTGGAGTGATGAACACATGGTTGTATACCTGAAGACCAGAGAGGACAGTAACTGTCAATGTGACAGACCATTCTGTTAGACAATCATCAGCTATATGAAACCTCATTGAATTTTGGAGTGAGTATAGTTTAACATCACGTTCAGCAATATTTCAGCAACATCATGACAGGGGACACCAGATATTTAAGCTTCCCACATTGTACCCATGTCTTTAGCATGATGAGCAAATGCTTTAACCACTAGGCTACCCTACCGCCCCATGTCTATTCTGGAGATCCAATTACCAAGGTCTATTCATACTGAGGCTGAAGTGGACCAGGTAATTTGGTACACCAAGTTCAGTTGAGTTGTGTATCAAAACAAATTATCAATTGTCATATCATCATATGAATATTTCAAGTACTGTCTGTTTGAGTTAAAATCTCCCCATTGCGTAAATTATGGAACTTATTGAACTTATCGGTTACGACTGGTGACAAAAATGTTTCATGCATATATTTTTGCATTAAATATTGTCTCCGAAACGTGAAGATTGAGCTAGGCAGCAAAATCCGAGATGGGGTGAGTCAATGTCCGATTCAGAATCACAGTGTGATGACTTTTGATACCATCCCCTACTGATGAAATTAGCATCACAAGTGCCTCTCGCTCACCTGGCTGTTACCTGAGCTGTCGCTACACCCTTATCACAAATCTTGAAATATCGATTGAAAACAATGATGGTTTGTTAAACAACTTTTATATTTTGATGGCTTTAGCGATGGTTTGAGTCCTTTACGATTATTTGTTTCTGAGTTAGAGTGCAATTCATTGAGGAGATTTTGACTCAAATGGACTGTAGTGAGTAGTAAGTGAGTGAGTATGGTTTTATACCACTTTTACTTTTAGCAATATTCCAACAATATAACAGCAAGGATCACCAAAAATGGGCTTCATAGGTGAGGAATGAACTCTGGGTCCCTGGCATGGCAAGCGAATGCTTCAACCACTGGGTTATACCACTAGATAATATATATCTTAGTGTCCTGATAATTGGAAGAAGAGTTGTCTTTGTTACTTGTTATGTCCAAACAAACAGGGCAGGTAACCTACCTCTACATTGAAAAAACAGTATGTTTATCTCCATTCTACTAAGATGTATTTGTTCAAGAATCCTACTTGGGATCAGGACGGGAAATATTGTGGTAACATCTGCTGTAGTGGCACAGGCACGGAATGACCAGACTGGGTGGAGTAGGATCATAGAGAATTCTGATCTCTCAGCGGAGAGAGACATCTCATACCTCAAACAATACCCCATCCAAAATCATGAGAGGACAGGAGGGACTGACCAGACATGGGAGGGACCGCAAGGCATCCAGCCTGCAAAAAGCAGTCTTGTTTGAAATGCATGATTCAGTGAGTCTATCCCATCCTTTCCTGCAAATCACAAAAGTAGAATGGTGCTGTCCCACAACCTCCCAGCTCCCACTGGGTCTGGGTTAGAGTCAATCATCGATGGACACTGAGTAAGTGTGCTCCCTGTGCTGCTGATGTGCCAAGATCTGAAGACCAGAACAACCAGGTCATGTCGAGGAGACCCCATAGTCAACAGTGGAAGACCAGACCAAGAGAATTCTCGATTGTCAACACCCCAAGGGGAGCATCTCGATGGAGTGCCAGGGCTGGGATACAGCAGCAGGGCACACTCAACATCACATTATCACCCAGGAGTGGACACTGCCACACCTTAAACAATTCAGTATATGTCTTCAAAAATAATGGGAGGAGAAAAACCTAAATTGTGAGATGATATATGGCAAGGCAAATATAAGGGGGTGCAGTTATCCATCCTTTAGAGGCCATGGTCCTAGTAGGAACCTACACAAGCACAGGGTACAATGATAAAGTGCAAACTGGCCAAGGGTGAGAGAAAGTAGAGAATTGCTCGCTCATTGGCGCAGGTACCTTCAACTAAAACTACTGCATTTGCCCCTCCGAGGAGTTCATGTTATATAGTTTGGCTATGATCATTGTAATTATCTATGACATTATATCAGTTACACTTTTTTGGCAACTTCTTTGCAGCCAATATTGATGATTGTGAACATCAGTGCCCATTTTAGTTCCCCTCCTGACTGATAAGGTAGTTTTATGGTTGAAGAATACAGAGATTTATTATCCATATGGTGAAACATAACCAGTGTGATATATATCATATGTGCACATGTGCACATATCACTTTTGCCTAGCAACCGTTGTTTCTGCATATCGTTGTCTGTGACGTCATTAAACAATTGAACGTGACGTCAATGAACAGGGCAGTCACACTTGCTGACACAAATGTACAGGAATAACATGGATGATAAAGAAATTATTACACTCAAAAGTGTGCCACACGACTTATACGAAACTCGGGCAAAATTTGTGTATTGCCCGAGCGAGAGCGAGCAATACACAAATTGCGCACGAGTTTTGTATGTCATATGACACACTTGCTCGTGTAATAATCTCTATGTATCATACTAAACAGGGAGTGATTGGCAGAGATATATAGGAGGGAAAGGTAACATGCGGAGGGTGGAGATAGGGACACCAGGTAACTCACCAGCCTTAGAAAATGGTGGTGCTGAAAGAACAACACCATCATGGCAACATATATTACAATCACCAACATTAATATATGTACAGACAAGATGCAAGGACAATCACCAACATTAATATATGTACAGACAAGATGCAAGGACAATCATCTGATTCATTTGATGCAGTGACAATATGTGCACTATCTATATAAACAACACTCACATACTGCCACAACAATGAACACATATCAAAACAACAGTATGTGTGTTTGTATCATCATGCAGCCCCTACAGATGGAACAATACAGTGAGGCCACTATACCATCCCAGCAATATGGGAGTGATACAATTTGTATCCAATTTTGTAGGTGAATCACAACACTGAAATATTTTCAATTGCAAATAGTGAAGATAGGATATACAAGAGAATCTATATAAACAGATTTCTTAAACAGCTTCTGTATCCACATGTTTTTACATCAGTATAACTGGTAGAGTAATGAATTGTATTTATTACAAGACTGGAGATGTGAACTGATGTAGTGTTTCATGAGGCTTGTATAGTGATACAATACTGTACTGCTGTATTACTACACTGTTAGTAATCTCCCTGCATGTCATCAATAGATCACAGTGACTCGGATATTAACAATGGGCATACAGCACCCCCTGAGAATATTACTCAGCTCCTGTATGTATGACCAATGGAGATGGTAGAAGGATCAAATTCATGGTATGTTGTGAAAGTAATGTCTTTTTTGTTATATATATAGCAAAATAATCACAAATCAGCATAAGTTATGAGTTAAAACATGAGAGTCTCAGAGGGACAAAGATAACATTGGTGGTGATTACATGGGCTGCATATTACCAGTTATTTTGAATCATATGGAAACATCTGAACTATTGTCCTTATCATATTTATTTGATTTTCCATTCCCTGGTTTGTGGAAGGAAAATGTTTGTGATAAAGCTGTATGAAAATTGGTCCACTTTATGTGGAACCCTAAGTTACATGAAATAAGTGTATATACAGACTGCTGATGTCAGACAATAGCATACCATTTTGCACAACACCATCTGGTGCTCGCTGATCCTCCTTATCTGTGCGCTTCTTGTTCTTGGATTTCCATGAATGATAGACCTTGAGACGTCGGTGGAACTCTTCCCGACAGGAGTCAAGAAGCTCCAGGTCTGGTAATATACAACAGATAGATGAAGCATGTTGGGAAAGGTTGCTAGTACTTGTGTTAGGTTTATCTTCTCTTGTGGTTTAAGAGAAACAGTATACACTAACTACACTCACTGATCGTGCTTATGGAAACTTGGAAAGCCAGTACCAAAACAGGAATACCTGGTACACAGGGTAAGTGGTAGCTGTTCCAAACTCACTAATTTTATATATGATGTATCGGTTATGATTGAATTATAGTTTTTTTAAGCTTATCACATCTATGACCCAGAATTACTAGGCCACATCTGTATAGTGACCTTTCCCAAAATTGGACTCTGGCTCATAGTAACTTATCATCATGCATGCGAGTTTAAAAATAGCCAATCTGCAGCCATTCTGAATTAATAAGGATTAACGATTTGCATGAAATGATTAAGAAAGGTGAATTTCTTGAAACCAGAATTTTCGACTTTTGGTGGTGGTGGTGGTGGAATTGGGTTTAACGTCGTGCTTGAGAATATTTCGCTCATATGACGACATTTTCGACTTGTGGACAACTGCTTGATGAAATACTGGAAGTTATGGGATCAGCCTACCACAAGATGTATTGATGGCATCTCGTAGCTCAGCATATTTCCATTTCGTCAAGTCATATTTCTTGTTGGCAGCAGCCTGTCGCCTGGCAACCGCTTCAGCTGATCTATAACACACATAGAAATTCTGTTACCATGGTACACTGTCATACAAACACAACACAATATCTACCACTTCTATGTAACTGAACAACAATAAGAGTAAAACCTGGCCCCAGCAGTCCGGGCATTCAGTCCTACCTCTGTAGGGGAGGGGGAAGCTGTATGTCCTCAACCTCATTCTGATCCTCCATTGCCAGACGTAGAGCCAGTTCCCGGTCACGGTGCTCCTGATCCAGCATCTGCTGTCTAGGCACCAATGGTAAAACTACAGTCAATCAACTGGTAAATCTTAAGAATTCTTATGTATAAGAATTTGTATAGTAATGCCATCACAGAATTACTGCAGTATTACACTGTAAATCTGGAACAGTGACATTTGAAGTAGTTTGAAATGCAGCAAGCATTTGAAGTCAAGCATATGTTTGTCTTAGAAAAGCAGTGTCTGAATATTAAAACACAAAATCAGAAGGCAAGAGTTCATCACTAACGAACAGTTTATGAGTTCAGCTCATTTGAACCAAGTCCAAAATTAGCCCTCACAAATGCAAATATATGTATTGCTTAGAGTAAATTTATTATCCTATACTTATTCTGTTTGCTTTTCTCCCTGTACAGCTGAAACATTCTGTGTTATGTGCCCAAAGAACAGTAAAAACTTGAACACACCTTACCACCATGCAGGCACAGTGGCTGCTTAAGTGGCCAGCCAGTAATTGTCACTCTCTCCATTTTCATAATTTCAAACAATTCCAAACACTAAAATAATTGTAAAAAAGGAGAAAAACAACAACATATTCTCAACTCTGGAAGATAGAACATCTTGAAACTTCTCTGGTTGTTGAAGGTACTTCTTGTTGAACTGCTGTAGGTAAGTCTTAATTTGTTGCTTGAATGCTTCTTTGGTACTAGGGAGACTGGAGAATGAAAGCCTGGAGTTACATCTGCTGGTTATTCTGTTAGAATGATCTCTATTGCTAACTTTGGAAGAAGAATCTCTGAATAGACTATACTTGGAGGATCTACCGTTAAGGGTGGTTCCTCCCGCAACTTGGAGTTGTAGCTCTTGAGATTCTTTCGTACTAATGGGTCTTCTTGGATCTCCCAATTTCCCCAATAAGGCATCAGTATTCCAACCATGGTTGATGGTTGTACTTGAACAGCTCGGGACGGAATGTCCCAGTCATTCGAAAACCTGACCTCTGGTGGAAAAATTGAGAACTTTTGGTGCCTCTACCTCTGCCGGGTAGTTGCTCCCTGACTTTTCCTGAGGTCAGTGTGAATCTTCTGTCCTTAGCTTTCTGAATACCAGTGAAAGTACGTCTAACTTGAGTTCTAAGCATCAACTATCTATAAATGGAGTTCATCCTTTGTACCTTGTCATTTATTCACACGATGAATGCAACCATCAAAGATGGTGGGCACCACCCAGGGTTGACCCAATAAAGACTTTGTGTAGACCACTGAGAATTCAAAATATTACTCCTTGTCTTCATAGCAAAGTAAGCCCTGCTGAATTACAACTAATGTGAACGATAACATGCTTTTTTCCATTTCCAACTGAGGGCCTCGTTTAACCCCCTGGATGCCACAGGGACATATATGTCCTTCCCCTTCAACCCTCAATTTCAAGTCCAATAAAAATCAAAATATCCCACGCACACAAATACACTTCACAGTTTCGAATTCTTCGGGAAATTTCCTGTTTCTTGATACCATCCACTATTATTTTAGACAAAGTTCAAGTGCTGAAAATGACCTTTCAAAATAGGCTTCATCGAAAATGTCGCCATTTTTGACACAGTACGAAATCGCGATTCACAGCGTTATTTGCTGTATGTTTTGAAATGTGAAAACCGGATAATTACTGGGAGTATTGAATTTAAAAAATAATATATTCATGATCACTCATATCAGTTTTACATGAAATCGCTAATTAAAATTCTGAAACGTTGCCGATGAATCTAGAATCGGTTGGGATGTTTTCGAAAATGCACTTACACGAACGCCGTGAGAGCTTTCCGCCATATTGGATAGTGTTTACAAAATCACGCTTCGCTGCGAAGGCGGGTATTGAGACGCCTATTACATCAATGTATATTTCATATTCAGCTTCAAACATGCATCAATGAATTCCCCATACATTTTAGAATCAAACTGCAAGTGGTCTTTGTCACCAATGCCAACTGTCTAGATAAAATGAGATCGAAACATATTGGGTGTGAAACGAACGCTGTGCTCGAAGAGACTGCTGGTTCGAAATGTAAACAAAGACAAAACCTATTTTACACTGTGTAGCATTTTCTGAAATTTTCCAACATTCATCCGTCTATTCATTGCTTGCAATGGCTCAATACCTTTGGAATATGCATGGAAAGAGTATCGTAGCAAGAAATAGGAAATTATAAATAGATACAATGCAATGATTTGATAATTCATAAGAAATTGTCAAAGTTTCCGTGCAGCGCGTGACGCGTGACTGACGGAAAATCACGCAGAACGACAACGGTAATTATCTGGATTTCTGTCTTTTTCTCTTACTTTTAGTGAAAACGATAAAACATATAACAATACACAGATAGTCAGAATCATTCTGATTACTTACATCTCATATTTATGGACAAACGATCCCTGAATCAATGGAAGGGTCCTCGCAAAAATCCTGTGTACCCTTGTCAGCAAAGCCGCCATTTTGTAAGAAATTGGTCAGCGGTAGTGATGTCATACGTCAACATTGTTGTACATATTAGGCAATTTCTTTGAGGTGAAGGTCGGTTGAACAAGAGTAAACACAATCGCCCAATCCTTCTGATTACACTGTCAGTATTATGGTGTATATTTTATGTTATAGTTCAGATACTTTTTCATGAAACTGACTTCAGTATCCACATTTAGCCCTGTTCAATATCATATCATACGATGCGTATAGGGTTTACGGTGTTTTATTCTTTGAAAGTTTTGATTGTTTGAATCATATTTACATAGGAAATTGACATATTTAGTGCAATACACCATATTCTAAACCTTTACACAAGTGTTAGAAGATCAAACGTAGTCATAACTGCAATTCGCGCTAGTTCCGATGATGTACAATATTCAATGCATTTGGACTAATATTGCAGTTTCACATGAACAGGTTAATGAACGGCGATTTAATTCAACCTTATAAGTAAAACTGATAATATTAATGAAAATGATTTATATATGGTATGAAATGTATATGCACACATATTTAAAGGAATTGTCTTGTTTTTGCACATTTGTGTGTCGGTTTATAGAGAAAACAATGATGTCAATTGATTGGCCAGGTGCGCTTTGTCGGAAACGCTTTTATGATTCACTATCATTGCTTTCGATAATATAATCAATTCATATTCGATTTAAAAATATTGTGATGACAGGATATCAAACTCTAACTATATTTATACGAAAATTGTTTAAAAATATATAAACCATGTCATGTCTTAATTTGGACAAATCTTACATCCATATTCTAATATATAGTACGCATTAGTTCCATATATATAAAAGCTATCTTTTGCATCTTCCATTGCATACTTATGAAGAGAAATAGCTACATAATCATAAACAAAGAAAATTCTTATCCTAAACAAAATATTCGGTGTTGTGAAATGTTATTTTTCATTTACGTTAAATTGATGCCAAACAGGTGCTGCGTGTTTCTCACAAAAAGATACACAGTCAAACTGTCTAATTGTTGATATATTCAGGACACTATTTAAATGGAAAAATCAGTCATTTTATGTTTTGTCTAAAGAGTCTTAAATTCTGACATAGAAGCCGAGACCTTTCACACAATTAATGGAAATTAGGTGAGATATGTACTAAACAGCATACCAATGTCGTCTTTTTCCGACGTCGCAAAATGCATAAAACAAGCAATGACGTCAACTAAAATGGTGTATTATTTTCAGCAATTTCATTACATTTAAAGATATGGCTAGTACTCTGGTAATAACGATGCAAAATTGGTCAAAATACATCTACACAAACAGGACAATATGGGAATCTAAGAACTAACTTATATATCTGATAAGGCCATCCAAATCGCTATTACGTGCTTTCACATGTAATATGTTATCATTTTTCTTGTAAATTGTGAAACTACCAAACTGCATCCGCTCACATTGGGGAATGTTGAATTGGAATAGTTTGGTTCACCATGAACATAAAATAACGGAAATATAGCGTCCGTATCCACAACAAATTCTCTCCAAGTGATCTGAGTTACATGGACCTAGTGTTACGCATAACGGAGTTATGCCCCCTTATCATTATACGTGTATGACGTCTCTGTCGTCGTTTGATGTCATAGAAGAAAATCCATTTTTGACATTTATTGCGAGTCATTTTTAATGTTATGCATTAACGTTATGCACAAGCACATAAACCCAATTCATATACACTTATGTCGCTCAGATATCAGGCTGTATTTTCTTCGCTAACACTTTCCGTAAAGATGCCACATTAAAAAAATCGTAGCACAGTGCTTTTATCGGTGCGCGATAAAAAGCGGATAGAATTACTGTTTTTTAACGCATAAAAAAAAATGGACAACATTTAGCAGTGTCTATTTCTCAAACCGCCGAGGTAGTTGCACTTATATTTTTACCAACGGATAGGATATCTAATATTCTACATTTCTGTGTAATTTTATAGCCGTACGTAGATCCAGGACCACGCGAGCGCAATTCTCGCACAACGATCACTTTGCAAACCGTATGAAAATGTGCTCCTGAAAAAAATCTCGGCATCAAGGGGGTTAAAAGCATGGGATTTCGTCAGTCCAAAGAATGATCTTCAGGAAGTAGTATCTCGCATTGACTTGTTATCTCCTACCTGGTAAGTCCTAGACTTTGATCGCTCATGAGTGATTATTTTCTTCAATCTGTGGCACTTTGTAGAAAGCCTTCATGTTATGTAGCAGAGAGTCCTTAGATCGAAAGAATGTGTAGGCATCTGGTGAATCTTTGCGGTCTTTGCAAAAAATGCTTAAAAATTCTTCACAGCCTGAGAAAATCAGCTTCATCAGAGGCATAGTCAGCATCTAGATGTCTTCTCCTTTGATACAGTATGTGTCAGCAGCAGATGAATCCCTTGAGACTGAAGATATGGGTAAACCATCCACAAACCAGATGCTTGATTGGCATTTTAGAAGATGATATTTGATGAACATAGAGATTTTTCTGGGTTACATCTTCTTTTTATTCTCGAGTACAGCGTTTCAGGGCTTGTTCTGGCCCCATCATCAGGTAAACTGAACAGTAACTGTTAACTCTGGCCGTGACGTCACAATGCTTATGACGTCACAATGCTATGACGACGCAATACATGTGGTGGTCAATAGATACAGATGACATGGCTAATAGAATACATGTTATTATGACATGACATCTTATATATTCATAATAACATGTATTCTATTAGCCATGTCAACTGTATCTATTGACCACCACATGTATTGCGTCGTCATAGCATTGTGACGTCATAAGCATTGTGACGTCACGGCCAGAGTTAACAGTTACTGTTCAGTTTACCTGATGATGGGGCCAGAACAAGCCCTGAAACGTTGTACTCGAGAATAAAAAGAAGATGTAACCCAGAAAAATCTCTATGTTCATCCACAAACCATGCCAGTAGTTCGTGGTCTACGTAAATGGAAAACTTATCTTCATCATGTGATAATAAACTGAACATTAATATCTGAGTCAGAGGAATGTATTTGAACAAACTCATGTTCTGCTAACTGTTCAAAAGTTCAAGCCTATTTTTGTCCATCTTTTTCCTCTGCACTACAAACAGGTAATCTGCAAAATCATTATCCCCAAGGGAAGGGCAAAGAAACTACATATATTATCTATGTTGCATTGTTTTTTGACACATAATGAACAGAAAAGGCGTGGAACTTGGTCTCGTACTCTGAGTTTACATATAGAACAGGAATGACAAGTCCTCAAGCATGAAAACAGTATAGGTATGTATACCGAAACGTCGCTATTGTACGATAAAGAAGTTGATGATCCATAAAGACTTGTCATTCCTATTACTTACAACTTCTAGAATGCCTCTCAAACAGTACATACAGAACAGTTTTTCATGAAGAGACTGTGGATCGTAATTATGATAAAAATAAACTGAAATAAATGCCAGATTGAAAAAAATATTTGATAGATATGACGCATAATGGACCTAAAGAGATAATCAATGCTTAACTCTATGAATTTTATAAATAATTTTGACAGGATGGTTCGGATTTAGAAACCGCAGAACATTTTTCCCAACCATTCCACTGGGCGAAAATGGAGAGAGTAACAATCACTGGCTGGCCTCGTGAGAGGATGGTGCAAATGTGTGGTGGTGAGGTGCGTTCAGGTGAGATGTTTTGTACTGTACTCGGGAAACACAGAATGTTTCTACTGTATCTCATGTTGAGGGAGAGCAAATAGTATGAGTCAGGATAAGGAAAAATAAAACTTCATGTTATGAAAAGATTTAGTCAAATTGAATGAGTGTATTTCTCAATTCTGTAACAGTACCTACCTAATCTTAGAATTTTTAGATTTTATCAAACATTGTTATGAGGTGAGGTGAGGTGAGGTGAGGTGAGGTGAAAGTGGGTTTAATGTCCTGCTTTAGAATATTTCGCTCATATGACGACTAACCATTTTTATGAAAAAAATGCTGTGTAACAGACTCGTGCTGATTTAAAACCAACACTCCCTATGTACCCGACACAGTATATTAGAAACAAGATAATGATCAGCATGGAAGAAAATAGGCAAACATCCGAAACAAACTCCTCAATTAATAATATATACCAAACCAATACTGAATACAACAATTCTCACCTTTCTGCATTAGCCTTAGCTTCCTCTTCCAACTGTTTTTGCAGGATGGCCTGAAACAATGCATGATAATAAGGTTACTGGAACATCATGGCAGCTGCAATGAAGAGGTAGTCTGCTCAACATTTACATCGGTATTTACTCAAACCTCTGTCACTCCCAGCACATATCACAAAACACAATCATCACACCAATATAGCCCTCCCTCCCGCCCAACCGTGGTTCCAGCTTCTAAGGCGCCTGTTGATATCCCCTCCGTTCAGACTTCCAAAATCGCGTCTGATGATGTGCAGCATGGGAGACCTGGCAGAGCTCAGGAAGAACTCGAAATGGAGACTATACGCTTGGAAAGTTTATGGCAGAAATGCCTCCTGTGCTTAGGCTGGTCTTATCTTATCACAATGGTCTTTATCAACTTTAAAACTGTACAATAGACAAATTGAGAAATTTCATAGAATTTGTAATAAAAAGGGGAAATTGTTTCCAACCAATGATAATAAATCTTTAATGCAGGTATTATGACCAACCAACACAAGAACTTAGAAATACAGCATATTATACATGACATAAACAACCAATAACCAATGATTTTGGCAAAGTTGCCCTTAAGAAAATGATATTAGCTCTGACACCTTGCAAAAAGACGACTTGTGATACACGCGAGATGTGCTGGGTGAATCCAAGTAAACATGCATTTCAATATGTACTTACAGCAGCTTTCCTGTCCTCTTCCTCTTGTTTCTTCCTCTCTTCTTCCTCCTTCTTTCTGCGAGCCTCCATTTCGGCCTTCCTGGCAATGAGCATAACAATACAACTTTATCACTGCATCCAGTAAGAGTTCATTGTCACTGCAACTATCAAAACAACCCAAACTTGCAAATATCAGCTTTTAGTCTATAAATTTATTAGTTTTGACCCATATACATGCCACAATCTGTTCACCATGAAAATGTACAAATGATACTGCCATATGAAATTCATCCGTTCAACTTCCTAAGGCTGTTCAACTGGTCTTTGCACCAGTTCTCTCCCAATAAGTTTTGAACATGTTAGGAATAAAAGATTATGAGAAAACTGGTACTCAGGATATGGCTGTGGGTTCGTGGCCTTCTTTTGCTTTGGTTGACTAAATTGTATGTATCCATAACACAACCATATTCCCTGATGAAGAAAAAACAGATAAGTTGGACTCTTTCCACTTGTCTGTTCTGGGTGGTAGCTAGTGGTGACCTCCATGGTAACTTCAGGCCAGAAGACCAAGCCTTTGTACTTTTGCAACTCAGAGTTCTTGCCTTTATTGAATAACATATGTAACAGTACTTACTGTTTTCGTTGTAGTTCTTCTTCTTTCCGCTTCCTTTCTTCTTCTTCCTTTTCCTTTTTCTCTCTCTCCATTTCCTCCTATAATTACATATAGTAATGTTCACTGATCAATGTACAACATAAGTGTTTGTCTCAAACTTCTTTAATCTGAGAATGTAATAACTTCCATTATTAGACTATGATTTGGCCATCTGATATTGTGGACTACATCTGCCTCATCTGATACTGTGGTCAGGGACTGCCTTGTCTGATACTGTAGTCAGGGACTGCCCCGTCTGATGCTGTAGTCAGGGACTGCCCCGTCTGATACTGTAGTCAGGGACTGCCTTGTCTGATACTTTAGTCAGGGACTACCCCGTCTGATACTGTAGTCAGGGACTGCCCCGTCTGATACTGTAGTCAGGGACTGCCTTGTCTGATACTTTAGTCAGGGACTACCCCGTCTGATACTGTAGTCAGGGACTGCCCCGTCTGATACTGTAGTCAGGGACTGCCTTGTCTGATACTTTAGTCAGGGACTACCCCGTCTGATACTGTAGTCAGGGACTGCCCCGTCTGATACTGTAGTCAGGGACTGCCTTGTCTGATACTTTAGTCAGGGACTGCCCCGTCTGATACTGTAGTCAGTGACTGCCCCGTCTGATACTGTAGTCAGGGACTGCCTTGTCTGATGCTGTAGTCAGGGACTGCCCCGTCTGATACTGTTGTCAGGGACTGCCCCGTCTGATACTGTAGTCAGGGACTGCCTAGTCTGACACTGTAGTCAGGGACTGCCCCGTCTGATACCGTAGTTTGGGCAAACCCAGTCTGATACTTTAGTCTGGCACTTCCCTGTGTCTGACACTGTGTCTGATCTCTATTACTCTTTCCCTATATCATATTTTTTACCTTTTTAATTCGGCCTCCCATTCAAATTTCCCTTAATACTCAGTTGTTTGGTTTTTTTGTTTTTTTGTGTGTTTTTGTGTTGTTGTTTTTTGTAGTAACACCACTCTTTCAAAAATTTAATTTTCTGAATAAAATTGATATTTTATACTTATCCTGACTCATGCTCTTATTGCTTGTCTTCTTCTTCTTGCGAACATAGTGGAACACTTGTATCTCCCTAATTGAAGCTCCCTTCAATGTAAAATCACTAATTAGTACTCACCAAGAGTTGCCTCCCTCTAGCCAAATGCGCGGGAACGGAGGCGCCACCTCTGCCCACATGCTTCACTCTCTCCTTTATAACCAGCCCAACACTTGAAATTTCAGGGAAATCCAAAGTGTTATGTGGGGAGGATAGGAGGGCTTACCTCATGAGTCAGGATAAGTATAAAATATCAATTTTATTCAGAAAATTACATATTTTTCCTTATCCTGACTCATGCTCTTATTGCTTGTAGAATCCTACGGAAACGGAGGTGGGAAACAGAATACTTTGGATTTTAATAATTAGTGATTTTTAAATGTGATAACCCCTACGGGAACTTCATAATGGCACTGTAATTAATATAATTCCTGCTGCTAATTTCTACTAGCTGCCATATATGGGTTACTACAATATATATAGATATTATGATAGTAATAATAATAGAATAAAGCGACTCCAAAGTGGAGAAGCGACCCAATGTATATACTGACTGACTGACTGACTGACTGACTGAGTTTGGTTTTACGCCGCTTTTAGCAATATTCCAGCAACATCACGGCGGGGGACACCAGAAATGGGCTTCACACATTGTGCCCATGTGGGGATTCGAACCCGGGTCTTCGGCGTGACGAGTCAACGCTTTAACCATTAGGCTACCCCACCGCCCCCAATGTATATACATCAGTACTGGGCTTAAGACTAATGTAGACTTAAGATATATATATATATATAATAACACAAAACTCCGTAGAGTTATAAGTTAGATAGTACTGTTATGATATATACAGTAATAATCTCGTGAGACTATGACTTATCGTTTACGAGGGACTGTCAACTGCTGTGCGAAGACCATGGGACCGAAATGGTGAATACCTGAGATGTCCTCGGTGGTGATATCTCTCAGATAGTGGTTGGCAAACACCATGTCGGATTTCCAAAAGCAGCCCTCCATAATGGTATTCAACGAACAATTTCCGTGTAGAGAGAGTGTTTAAGCCAGTGCTCTAATTTCATGTGGATTAGATGCTCTTGGCGGGTCGAGTCCTGCAGCCTTGTAGACGCGAAGTATGACAGTTCTGATCCATATCGATATCGTGGTACACGAGACTTCGGTCTGTGTCGCTGTTGATAGAGGGATGAATAACCGCTTGAGTTGTTGTCGCCTCGTTTTGGATCGTTGTAGATAGATTTTGAGTGCTCTGACTGGGCATAATGATAGATCAAGCGTATCATGAGGTCCGAGAATTGACGAGAGTGCAGGGACATGGAATAATCTGTCTGGTTGACCTGGCAGTTGATTCTTGGCGATGAAATCCCAGCGTAGTCCCATATGCACGATGTTTTGATTGTCATTGAAACGTGTTCTCTCATAATCTAGTGCGTGAATTTCTGACATCCTGGCTGCCGTTGCTAGAGATAACAGGAACAATGTTTTCTGTGTCAGAAATTCAAATGATGTTGATTCCAGTGGTTCATATGCCTCACATGTGAGGTGTTGGAACACTATATTTAGATCCCATACTGGAGCGCGAAACCTCTATTTCTGATCCTCCAATCAGAATGAATAAAGCAAGGCCAGTAACTCTGGCGTTTTCATTAGCTTGGCACCCGTTCTCATAGTTATCACTGAACTTAGTGCTGCGAGATATGTTGATAGTGTCGAGCCTTTTAGACGTTTAATTTGTCGTAGGTGACAAAGGTAGTCTGCCACTTGAGGATGTGTATCATTTCTAGCTGTAAATCCCTTTTTTAGCAGCGTGTATCTCAAAAACTGTGTCACTTGTCATAATACAAGTTGCGTGTAGCATTGCGTAAAGCAAGCGTGACTGCTTTTTGCCGCTCTGGCTGAGTAACCTCTCTTGTTTAACACGCTTAAAAACAGTCCATACGTAAAGTTGGAATGCTTATGGGTTTCCGTGCGCTTATTTTGTGTGAGGATGTACTAGTAGATTCGTACACTCTGGTAGTTGCAGTAGAAGCAGTCCTGGGTCTTGTATGAGAATATGAATTCCTATTCTCGCTGACCAAAAGGCGTGCCCCAAATAGTTGTGGGTCTCTTGCCTGACTGATTTCTGCAATACCCTAGGTATTAGAGCTGATGGAAAACACGTAAGATTCTTTTTTATATATTCCTCCTTGGGGTACTTATAAGCATTTAAATGTCCATTTAAAATCCCTACGACAGTTGTAACAATATTTCAATAAAATATTTACAAAACAAAAACTACGTTTTGTCTTGTGAGACCACCCTTACAGGGCCCTCTGGCCCCCTACAGCCAAGAGCAGGTAACTCTAGACCGTAGCCTCGCACCTCACTTTCCATGCTGTCGTTTCCCGACATAGACGTGGGTCCATTACAAGAAAGTTTTCTTTTCCCGGCGAGAATTATGAGTGGGTCAGAAACAGCAATTGTATGTATGGTTCTCTTTTTTCCCTGCATGGGCGATTTGAAGACTTGTTCTGAACTTTTTCATTCATAATTTTTAGTTGTAACTTGGTACCTGTCGCGTCGGCTCGCCGGTGCGTGCGTGCCAAGATGGCGCCAGGTACCTTCGCTAGCATCACTGTTCATTGGTTTCCCGTGTGGTTTTTCAATGTTACAGGTGGGGTTAGTAATTTTTACGTATATGTGGTTACATGTAGGGCGTTTCCACTGCTTGCATTTTCTATCTTACGATATAAAAAGTCGAAGTTATGTCAGTGCGTGATATGGTTATTGTCAACTGTATGCTACGCTGTCGCGATTAGTTGTGTCGCCCATGCGTTTTTTTCATATATGTATGTGTGTATGGGGTTGATTGCTGCACAGGTTGTTTACTTGTTGCAGTTTAAATCCTGTACTTCGTGCCTTGTGGCCATTCCCGCCAAGGACACACACGAGGTCTGCTTTACGCTTGCCTCACCCAAACTGACCATGAGGAAGAGGGGTGTGTGGCATGTGCCACTTTTACACCTCAAACGATTAGAGCACGACGAGCGGATCTGCTGTTCTACAGCAATCTGATTCGGGCGGGGTGATATCTGGGCACAGGATCCCCGTCCCAAACGCTCACACACAAAAAGGGTCTACGGGAGCCGCTTCCCATACGGAGCCGGGCTCCCAAAAGAGCTAAAGGTTCCAAGGAGGCATCTAATACCAAACCTCAACTTGCTCCTGTCTCTTCCCCCTGTTGTGTGTCGGCACCAGTTGTGCCCGCTGAATCACTAACCGCTTTATTCCAGGAACAGATGGCGCCAGTGAAATCTCTCATTGATACGGGCGCTGGATGGGTTCCGTAAGGAGCTCACCGCCGGTCGTGGGGGTGGATCTGACGCATCTGTGGGGTTACGCGCCCGAGCTTAGGCTCGGGAACGCCAGCCCCCTGGCAGCTTGATCCCGCTTAGGCCGCGGAGATAGTGCTACCGACACCTAAGGGCTTACCTCGCCTCGGGCGTAGGGTCCGCTCACAGGTGGCTGGCGCCGGCGATGCAGGGTTGCCCCTGGCTTCGCCTGGTGCCCTGACTGGCAGTCGCCGCACTGCCCAGCTCGGGACACCTCGGCCTGGCAGCCAGTCTGGGTTGCCCGGGAGGCCTGTCGCTGCAGGTTCCTCCTCGGCGCCTCGGCGACTTGGGCGAAGTTCTGCCCGGCTGGGCTTACTCGTTGCTTCTGGCGCCTCTTGACCTTTATGGTCTTTCGGGTTCAGCCTCTGGTATATCCTCGGCGGTCTCTCAGGAGTATGAGAGTACGGCTGCCGAGGATTATGCCGAGGTGGACATGGAGGACGATGGAGGGAGGGAGGAGCCGGAGGCGGGAGTGCCGTACTCCTTTGGCTCGTCTCTGAGGCAGGTGCGGGAAAAATTGCCGGCCCTGCCCCAGGTGGCCGCTCCCACACAGGCCGACCCCGCGGAGTTTCGCCCCGGGAGGCTTTTGCCTACCAAGGTCGCCGAGGCGCGCCTACGCATCCTA